CAGCATGAATTCTTACCAGTTTGCGAATGCGGTCTAGCACTAGATCGACGATCTCTTTTCCAATGGTATAATGGCCTCTGGCATAATTATTGGCTGCGTCTTCTTTCCCAGTAATGAGCTGCTCAGGATGGAATAACTGCCTGTATGTGCCTGTACGTACTTCATCTACAAAAAACCCCAAAACACCACATCATAAATTTGATCTGTTCGGTTCTGTGTGTGCTGCCTAGTGACAACACACTAAGCACATGTGTCAAAAGAGTGCAGACAGCATCTCTGACTATGCACAGCTTGTCTGACTAGTCTAAGAAGTTGGCTCAACTTCAGCCACTTTTTTTAGGGGTAAACATCAAGCACACACAAAGCTTGAAGTATTTGTACTTGAGGAACACAGAGGTCACTCAGAAAACTACATTACAGGTACAGACAAGGTACTGGACAACAATCAAACAGAACTCTGGATGCAGTGCAGCAGTCTGGAAAGATTATCCAGATCATAGAAAAGTTCTATCATTTTCCAAATAGTTACCTGTAGGCCATTATTTAATTTCTTTCAAATAACAATAACCTCAAATGTCAAAACAGCATCCAGACACACATCTTTTAAAATCTATAGTGTTCTTAACAGACAAAAAAAGACAGTAGGGAATCCATAAAGGATCCTCACTTTTTCACTGAAGACCTTTAATGCTGGGTACATACCAACTACGGTTGGCTCTAGGTCCACAAACACTGCTCTCGGAACATGTTTACCAGCTCCCGTCTCACTGAAGAAAGTGTTAAATGAATCATCTCCACGTCCCATAGTATTATCACTAGGCACTTGACCATCAGGCTGGATCCCATGTTCAAGACAATACAATTCCCAACATGCATTGCCAATCTGAACACCAGCCTGACCAACGTGGATGGATATGCATTCACGCTGCGAAGTTAAAACACAACAGTAATAAGACATGGAGTTACCTGCTTCTATATTTTATTCTCATTATAACTAGCTATCTGTGGGTTGTATTTTTCCATGATCTTTCTCTGCTGCAATATCCCCTGGTTTCTCTTGAGTGACAATTTAAGAGAACAAATGCTGTCTGTTGCTAGCAAGACACTACTCACCTTAGTTGACCTGCACTGACTTTGAGACTATTGGAAGATCCCAAAGGCAACCTAGTCTCTATGAACACATCCCTTATGATGCTGCATATATATCTTTAATATTCAACCTAGTCTCTTTTTCACCTTCTTTTAGCATTTGGAAGACTTCTTTATATAATATCCCCAAATTTCCTTGACTTGATGCCAAACCACGTACTGGGTAACTGTTGTAAGAATCTTTCCTGCACAGGACCACTCAGTACGTTTTTCTTTATAATAAGCGTAGTGGTATTTAGCCCCTGACAATTTGAATGTATTTTTTTTATATATATTCTTATGTGAAATTCTCCAAGAGTCTCAATCAAATGTCATCTGCCCACTTTAAGCCAGTTCCTCTGATTCTAAGCAACTGCCATGTATGTTTAATCTCCCAATACCTCAGTTTTGTCTTACAGCTGCATCCAGCGCAGTCCCCTCGGCTGTTTCCGTTCTCATCCCCGCAGGTCCGCCCTCCGCCGGCCCCGCCCCCCCCCCCCCCTGGCCCTCCCCCCCCCCCGCCCCCCCCCCCCCCCCCTCCTCTGATTGGCCCTCCATCGCCTCCGACCCCGCCCCCTCCTCTGATTGGTCCTTCACCACCCCCTCCTCTGATTGGCTGCGCCCAGCAAACAGCTCCTCCCGGCACGCGCCGCCCGCCCGTCCCTCACCGCCGCCCCCTCATAAGCACGCGCTGTGTCCTCCGCGGCTTCGCGCGCCAAGGAGGCCCAGAAACGGCGGAAGGATTCGGCTGCTCTTTCCCGCTGTCTCTCTGCTGCCCGGGTCAGGTTTCAGTCTGCCTCTCGCCCCTTCGCACGGGAGGTGCTCGCTACGAACAGCCTTCCATTGCACTTCCACATATTTCTGGCTAGCCACGGGTCACTTTCTGTGCCTCGCCTTCCTTGAACTATTAACCTTTACACTCCTTCTCCTTCTCCCCAGTCCTTCGGCCTTAGTGCTACCGCAGGGACTTGAAGCAGAGACTGCCTGCAAGTCCTGCCGCAGTACGTGCAGTCACAAACTCCCCCGACTGCCACAGCAGAAGCCCTCCCAAACGTCCTTCCTCCCCCCCAGCCGCGAGGATCCCGTATCCCACCATGGTGCCTTGCTAAGCTGACGAACTCCAGCTGCGCCACAGCCCGCCTGCCGACGCCCACCGACCGGTACCAACTGCCGGCCGTTAACGGCCTCAAACCCTTCGCCTCAAGCGCTGGCTGCCCATTGGCCCTTACCCGCGCGGGCTACGCGCGAGCGAGCACCGCTGATTGGCGGAGCCGTTCTTCTCCCGGCGGGGCGGGAGCGGCTGCCACGTGCAGGGGCGTGTCTGGGGGCGGGGCTGGAGAGGTGCCGGGCGGGGCGGGATCTCGAGGCGGGAATGCGGCCGCGCCGGGGCGGGAAGGGTTCCTCCGGCGGCTGGGGGGTCCCGTCGGGCGGAGCGGGGCCGACAGTTGGACAGGTGCCGCTGGATGGCCAGAGTTGAAGTGAGCCAGCTCCGTTGTTTTCTCGAGTAGCAGCCTTGCCACTTATAGGGGTTTTTCCCTCCCTTTCTTTCCACTTTTTCCCCTTCTTTCCTCTTTCTTCCTGTCTCCCCAAAGAAAAGCAAATTACAGATTTGCTGTTAATAATGAGAACGGGTAAAAATTAAAATTAAGAAATTGCTATTAATTAAAAGAGACAAGCTCTTTTAGGCCTCTTATAATGCACATTTTTTTAATTCCTTAATGCTGCCTAACTGAAGCTTATCGAGTTTATTTCTCATGTACTTTGGTGTTTAGAATTCTGCACAAAACTGTATACCATGTTCTGCAGCCAAAACTTTTGTGGGGTCATTAATTCTACTGTCTGCTGGAAAGAGTTGTGCATACATATACCAAGATAGCTTCTGAATGATAAAATTATCCCTTTTTTCATTGAATGACTTGACTGTATTCAAGTATTAACCTTTTATATTTGTTAAACTCCTTTATATGCTCTTAGTTACAGACTTTCTTGTACACCTTCAGCATTCTAGCCTGATAGGTCATATGAACTCAGGAAGATTTTTCGCCTTGACTCTTCATGGACAAAGATCTTTTTTAAAGGGCAGTTAACCTAAACCTATAGCAATGACTGCCACAGAAGAGAAAAAAAGAGGCCTATGCAGCATTGCCAGCTTGTGGTAATGATGGAAAAAATGTTGAGCAATGACAAAGGGAGAAAGGAGAGGAGGCATCATTGTAGACCATTTCTTTAGGAAATGAATCTGAGAAAGTAAGTTCTCAAAAATATCATTTGTAAGTGCAGACCCTCTAAGAGAGACTGTTTATTCAGCCTTTCTCATGTATTCTTTAAAAAAGAAATTACCATTAAAAAAAAGTCCCTTAAAAAAATCTGCAAGGACTCAATATTCCATCATCACCAGGTATTTTGTTTGCTGTGGTGGGCAGACCCTGGCTGGATGCCAGGTGCCCACAAAAGCTGCTCCATCACTCCCCTTTTCAACTGGACAGGGGAGAGAAAATATAATAAAAGGCTCACATGTTGAGATAAGAACAGGAAGAGATCATTCAGCAATTACCATCACAGGCAAACCAGCCTTGAGCTGGGAAATTAGCCTAATTTATTACCCAAGATAAGAGTAAGGTAAGTAGAAATAAAACCAAAATTTTGAAACACCTTCCTCTCACTCCTCCTTCCCTTTTTCCTGGGCTTTGCCCATTTGTATAAAGATGACAATCTTTATACAAAATTTATTGGCAAAGTTTTAAGGATACGTTAGTGAAAAGCTGGGATTTTGTTTCTTTTTATTGGTGGTGGTGGGTTTGGTTGGTTGTTTTTCTGGGTTGGTTTTTTTTAACATCAACCTGCATCTTTAGATGAAACTATATCATTTGCTTTCATATAGCATCCAGGCTTGTCCAAAAAGACTGCTACATAAATCCCTGTTTTGCAAAACATTTATTTCAGTGAATAGCAGCAGCTGCCTCAGTGACTTTGTGAAAATATTTCAGTTATTTAATGGAATGGAATGGCAGCCTGGAATGCTGTGTGACAGTATGCAGTTTTTAGAAAATGAAGCTTTTAAAACTCACCCTCTTTTTTCTTCCTTTTTTTTTTTTTTACCAGTAGCCTAGTGAAGAAGAAAAATGCTGTTTCCTTCATCTGTTGTTGGCTACGGCACGTATCTATTTGACTTGCAGCTCATTCCATTACAATTTTTAGGAGAAGCTGTAAGAGACTTCAGAGTGGTTTCACTTAAGTGACATGAAAATATTGTTTCAAAAGGCTCTATTCTGCAAAGTTATAAATGTTTTTAATTATCACTGACCATGACTATTTGTGCCTAAGTTAGTGTACCATATGCTTTTTATCTTTAGTAGTAGAGTTGCTACTTTCCAAGTCAGATTCTTATTACAACATAAAGCTTCAGAAAATCACATTCTGACAATATCACGCTTTGCCCTTTGCATCCTCTTTTATTTTCTTGGCATCTTTGCAAACTCGTAAACATTCTGTCTGTAACTGACGGCTAACTGCACGTGTTCTTGCCACTGCAGACAGGTTCTTTTACCATTAGCACTTGCCGGGTAAAGCGTACATGGCCCGTGGCGCGGCCGGATACCCCGAAGAGGGGGCCGGGGCAGAGCTCGGGTACCCCGGCGAGGGGCGCGCTGGCAGTACCGGGGGCTCCGCAGAGGGGTTCGGGTACCCCGCAGAGGGGTTCGGGTACCCCG